ATTTTATATAGGCGCGCGCAGGTAATAGCCTTCTGCCCATCGCTGACCTACTGCCACTTCAAAAAAAGATTTTTGAAATAGTGGTCGCTCCTCGGCAGACAAATGGCAAACCTCCGAGTGTACTTCTGCCACTTTGAGTTGGAGTAAAAGTGTGATCTCTCCATTTGTGGTGCAACATTCAGTAGCAAACCTGAATTGCAGAAGCGCGGCGAAACACGTAGAAAGCGTTTAAGCGCCAAGCATTCAAATAACCTGGGATATAATCTTAAAACTATTTAGGGGTTTCCATCCTGGAAANAAAAAAAAATCGGCTTGTTCGATAAAAAAAAAAACCCGGTTTATTCGATATAAACCCGGTTTATTCGATTCTCGAAAAATTAAGATAAAAAAAAACCGCCCATAGATATCAAAAAAAAAAAAAAAAACAGTGAAAACCGGTTTGGAAAAACCGAGTCAATAACCGTAAAGAATACTCAATATACTAAATCGATTTAAATTCTTATAACCAGTGACTCATTTCGACCAAAAGCCCGCAAAGTCCTATTTACATTTAACATTTCGTGCCCTGGACTGTGACCAATGGTCAAATGGAGCCTTTATCATTTAATTGCTCTACTCACCATTAAACTTGAACCATTTTTATTACAATCTAGCAAATACCCGGCGTACTTCACTGCGCCTTAAAAGTTTATTTATTTTATCAATTTAATTTAACACAAATTTTTCAAACAGGCGACAACCCTCCACAAAAAATTTTTCTACAGCAAACTTTTCTAAACCTCTCCAGTTTGATACCCATAATGCAATATTCAATATATCTTTTAAATTAAATTGAATTGAAATTTTCAAACCGGTGGCAACCTTCAACAAAAGTATTTGCGGCCGTAAGCCTTTTTAAACATTTTTCTCTTGGCAACCATATTGCAATATTTATGTTATCTGGTCAATTTACTTAAACTACAATTTTCAAAGAGGTGGCTACTCCCTAATTTTTCTTTCTTTCTATATTTTAAGTTAGACCTCTAGCAATGGACCGGTGAAAACTGCATGCAATTCCATACATTAGTTTTCGAGTGATGCGCGTACAAACAGACAGACAGACAAAATTTTAACAAAATGTTGAAATTTAATTATATGTATAGATAAACTTGGGTATAAGTATTTAAAAAATTTAACCATTCGAACCGAACCGAACCGCGGTTCAGAGATACTCATGAACCGGTTCTTGTACAGGTACAAGTTTTTTTTAAGTGGCTCGACCCACTGAACCGAACCGCATCGATTTTTGGTGCGGGTTGCAGCCCTGGTTTTAATACTATTTTTGGTCTGGTTACAAAACAAATATGCTTTTGGTTGTAATTTGTGGACAATTGTTCTCATCTTTCCTGTAGGGTAGGTAGCCACATGTGCGTATTTACATATGAATTTCCGTTTATTGTTGCTACGCCTAACAATAGGACACTTGACTTTACTGTTTTACAGTGATTTTCAAGTGTTTATTTTTAATTTCCTTTTCAGCTTTCAGTTTCGTTTAGTTTTTCTTTTTTCTTACTTATCCTACGCATGACTACAAATTTTGTTGTTACTATTTTAGCCTTTTGCTTCGTGCTTCGTTGTTATTGTTCTTGTTGTTAACGTTTATGTTGATTTTTATGTTTGTCCGAGGAATTATTGATTTTTTATTGCTCATTTTGGTCGCCGTCATTGGTGACATTTCCAACGTTTGGTTACTTTTATTCTTTTTTGTAAATTTTTTATTTTTTTTTTTGTATTTCTCTGAGTTTTAACCTTTATGAGTTTTATTTATTTTCATTTATTGTTCTTTCTTACTGCCTGTTGCCTGTTTTTTTCTCATAGTTCAGTGCCACTCCACTAGCAGTTCGGAGAATTGTTGGTAATAATTTTGAATTTATTAGCTCATTTAGAAGAGTGGGATTTTAGTTCAAATTAACTTCGATTTTGTATTTTGTAGTTTATCTGGATTGAAATCAACAATGAAATATACATATACATATGTATTTGCATGTGGAATAGGATAAGTTATCAGGATGTAGAATATAAGCCTTGGCTAATCGATTTTTTTTTATGATTAATTTCATTTAAATGCTAATGAAGCTGAGAAAAATAATTTACTTCAATGTGGGTAGGTAGTAGAGATGCCGTTTTTAAATCGATTAAATCCGATTCGAGCCGTGAATCGATTCAAAAAATTCGAGAGATGACATTTGATTTTTCCTCAATTAATGCATATGGAGCTACTAGTTTGCCAAACATTTTGCAAATTTTTATAAAAAATGTTATCGCCTTATTTACTCATTGTAGAAAAAAATTTTAGCATGTATGCAGCAGTGATCGGACCTAATAAAAATTCTGTGTGGTAGATTCTGGAAAAAAATGTGCTAGATTTAGAAAAAATGTGGTAGATCTCAGGTTTCGGACCAAATTTTTTACAAAAATTAAAAAAATAATCTGAAAGGTTCCAGTTTAACTGATATTTTTTAATTCGAGTCTCTAGAAAAAACTTTCAATTTATGGTTTGCCAATTTTCACAATCCTCCAGTAAAAGTCAACAACGCGTTGAGAAAACTTTTGATGCACTGTAATGTGCTAATACTTTCACAAAAATCGCCGATTTTTTACATTTTCTTTATTAGTTCTTTTTATAAATCATATATTTTGCAATTTAACACAATGAAATCACGTTTCCCAACAAAAAATTTAATATTGAGAAAATTCACTGTTTGACAGTTTTTGTTCTCCTCCCATTCGGCTTTATTCACTTTAATTTGAGAAATCTCATCGCCGCCGGGAATGCGAAACCTTGTATACTATCATTCTTGTTATTAGGGACACGAATTTCGATACGATATGATACCATATCGATATATTTGCCATTCGATACCGATACTTTTTACTCGAAAGTTTTCAAACGATATTTTTTGGAATGTAGTACCAGAACCCCTGTATCGTATCGAATCGTAAATGAACATTACAAAGTTAATGTGAATAATGATACATTTATATGACAAAGTATTAGAAAATAAAATGAAAACGTCAAAACTCTGGGAATCGGGCAAAACTATTTCTTTTTGTGGTAATATTTAAAATTAATTTTCCAAATTCCGAAATGTAATAATGTATTTACAGCGATACTTTAAATGAGTATTATATCGATACTTTCGGTTACATATCGTGTCCCTACTTGTTACCACATAGTGTTTAGTGTTGGACAATTTTTGCTCTTAAAATTAAAAAATTAAGAAAATCATGTGGCGCTAAATTATAACTACTCAAAAATGCGAATATGTGGTAGATTTCGGACCTTGTGTGGTAGATGTGGTGGATGCTTCAAAAAGTGGTCCACAATGTGGTAGACGTCCGATCACCGGTATGCAGTCTTATAGAAATTTTTTCTTAAAAGGGTAATTAAGATGTGAAATATAGAGCCAGCGAAAACAAAAAAATATAAAAAAGCTCCATTGCCTAATACACTTCCTAAAATAGTGGCCAATTTTGAAAAAAACACAATTTTTTTCGATTTGTGATCAAAAAAAAAAAAAGAAAGACAAACAAAATTTCGAAAAAACTTAACAGTTTTCTTCAATAGGGCTAACGTTCAGTTTTTACAAGTCATTAAATGAAAAAAAAAAATAAAATTAATGACTATGTTCAGCATTAAGCATATCGTTGCCTTTATATAGAAAAAACTAATCTTACACTTTTTTCAAATAAATCTAGATATTGAAACTGTTATGAACAATACATGTATGTTTCAAAAATTACTTTCAATAAAAGTTTGGTCAGATCGCTGTGGTTTGATTTTATATAAAAATGTAGTCAAAGGCGTCATTTGATTGCATACATACTCTTGGGAGATCGATTTTTTTTTTTTTGACGATTCCTTCGTGCATCGTTTATTTTTATTTCGATTCGAATCGATTCAAAAGTCGATTTATTTTTTATTTCGATCTTGCATCTCTAGTAAATAGTTGGATAGGACTGGCTGGGCAGTAAAAGCCTCACATAGGCAGAAGTGATGCGCGGTGCCGATTATTTAAAGAACCGGTCCTGTTAAGTCCGAATCCAAAGAGAACCAGGAATTTGGATAGGCTCCGGTTCTCAAAAAGTTGGCAACGGAAATTGGCCCAATCGAAATAGTCTGACAAAATATTTCAAAGAGTTTTTACAAAAATTCAATTTCTTTTTATATATATATATAAAAGAAATATATTACATTAATTTCTTACTTAGTGGATATGTATTTGTGTAGTCAAACTTTTATAAAGATAAAATAAACGAAATTAAATTTACCTAAGCGTTTTCCACGTTAAGGTTTCATTTAAACCAAAGTAATGTTTCTATTTAAAAACATGATTTTTTCGATATTTTATGCCAAAACAATACATTTTTTTCCGGAGTTTCGAAATCGAGTTTTGGTTCTTGCGGAACCGTTTTCGGTGCTTTTGGAATCGAGTATCGGTTTTTCCGGAATCATTTTTCGGTTCTTTTGGAATCGACCTTCGGTTCTTCTGTAACCGTTCTTTTGGAATCGAGTTTCGGTCCTTTAGGTATCCTTTAGGTTTCAGTTCTTCCGAAGCTGTTTCTGGGTTCTTTTGGAATCGAGTTTTGGTTATTGCAGAACCGTTTTTCGGTGCTTTTGGAGTCGAGTTTGGGTTCTTCCGGATGCAATTTGCGGTTTTTTTGGAACTGTTCTTCTGTAACCGTTTTGCGGTTCTTTTGGAATCGAGTTTCGGTCCTTTGGGTATCAAGTTTCAGTTCTTCCGAAACTGTTTTTCGGTTCTTTTCGAATCGAGTTTAAGTTCTTCCGGTGCAGAGGCGCCTTGCACATTGACGGTCCGGACACTAATGTTGTATATTCTCAAATCATTTTTCGATTTCTGCCTTTGCAAGAAGTGTTTTTTAAACAAACTTTTAGAACTTTTTCAGAAAAAAATTATAATTTATTTTATTTAATATGTAAAAAGTATTTATTTCTCAAGAAAAACATTTCGGCACCAATCTGATCGGCTCAATTACTTTCTCTTCCAGCCTTTGCTCTCAAACCACCGCTCAAACGCCTCAACATCAGCAGCAGCAGCAACAACAGCAACATCAGTCGCAACAGCAGCAACACCACTCCTCACAACTTCATCCTCACTCCCTGCCTCACTCACAATCGCCACTGGGCACAGCTACTGCGGTCACTTCCGCAACGTCTGGTCAATGCAGCCCGCTAACGTTGCCGCCACAGTCGCAGCCACTGCAGCCAACAATCACTTCACTGGCATCACTTAGCAGTCATTATAATACGCCGCCCAACTTGAATTCCAGCTGCAGCCTTTCGTCGGGGTTAAGCGCCTACACTTCGCTTAGTGCCGCCGCAACTGCGCCATTCAGCCAATCGCCCGGCAGCAGTTTTTCCACATATCAGCATCCCCATGCGACAACCGACGGCACCTCGAGCGGCGTCGATGGGCCAGCAGGCCTAAGTAATGCGAGTGCTTCGAGCGCAGGCCGACATTCTCATGCGGAGCTAGGTGGTGGTATTGGTGTGGGGGTGGGTGGCGCGGCCAGCACAGGTATGCCTCATTGGCTCCCAGCGGAGCCACATTTGGCATCGGTGAAGTCGGAGAATCGCAGTCCTGGGCTGAATAACAGCGGTGGTGGTGGCGTTGCATCCAGTGTGAATGCCAACAACAGTGGTATTGAGAGCCAATCATCTATGGGCGGAAACAGCGCTACACAGCGCTTGGATGGTAGTGGTGCCATCAGCGGCAATGGAAGTACACCGGGCAACAGTTCAATCTATGGTTGCTCTTCGGTTGGCGTCGGAAGTCTGAGCGGCATGGAGAGCAGCGTCGCAGGCATTGGAGCAAACTCCTCTTCCAGCGCGGCCATGGCGGCGGTGAATTCATCAGCTGCAGCAGCAGCCGCAGCGGCTGCTTACGACACCAGCAAACACGATTACTACAACTATTACAATAGCATGCAGCAGTACACGCCGCCATTCTACTCCACCTATGGCACGCCATACACCACTGCAGCAGCGCGTGCTGCCACTAAAATCGAGCCCAGTTCACCATACCTAACGTCGTCGTATGCGACAGCCACCGGCAATAACAACTCCTCGCAACTGTATCCAACCGCCTATGGCTACAACAACTTTGCGCAATTTGGTACAGCAGCCGCAGCAGCCGCGCAGCAGGACTACGGCAGCTACTACAACGATCAGTATGGCAATTATTACAACCCGGCCAGCTACTCGCCGTATGCGGCTGTAAGTTCGCCCAGTTCGAGTGCGGCTAGCCACGGCTTCCATGTGGGCGCCTCCAATTTGTCGGAAAGTCCCACCGATACGCACTCGACCACGCCTGTGCTGCACGCCACACACTCACCACACTCGCCGCTGCCGATCTCACCGAATGCCAATGCCGCGGCGCTGAACTCTAATTCCAACACGGCGGCGGCAACGGCACACACCAAAAGTACGCCTACCAGCAAAAGTGGGCGCTCACGCGGACGACGTCATCAGCAGCCGAGTCCAACGCGCAGCACCACTTCGGACACACCAAACAGTGATGCGGCTAAGCCGCCTGAACGCGTCTTTATCTGGGATCTGGATGAGACGATCATCATTTTCCATACGCTACTCTCCGGTTCCTTCGCCAATCGCTACACCAAAGACCAAAGCACGCTGCTGACGATCGCATTCCGCATGGAAGAGATGGTCTTCAACATGGCCGATACGCATTTTTTCTTCAACGAAATTGAGGAATGCGATCAGGTGCACATCGATGATGTGTCCTCCGATGATAATGGTCAGGATTTGAGCAATTACAACTTTGCGACGGACGGTTTCCATTCGGGTGCGCCACCCGGCGCGCCGCCAAATCTTTGCCTGCCAACTGGCGTACGTGGCGGTGTCGACTGGATGCGCAAGCTGGCGTTCAGATATCGCAAAATCAAGGAGATCTACAACACCTACAGAGGGAAGTGAGTAAACTGTCTTGTATGTATTTGTGAAAGATCGAAAAAAATTCATTTGCTTTTGTTATTTTTTCAGCGTTGGTGGCTTGCTGGGTCCTGAAAAGCGTGACGCCTGGCTGCAAATACGCTCGGACATTGAAATGGCTACCGACAACTGGGCTTCACTGGCTACGAAGTGTCTGAATATGATCGCGCAGCGCGAGAATTGTGTGAATGTGCTCGTGACGCAGACGCAGTTGGCGCCCGCATTGGCTAAAGTGCTGCTCTTCGGGCTCGGCGGTATATTCTCCATCGAGAATATCTACAGCGCGCACAAGATTGGTGAGTGGGAAAGTAAAAGAAAGCGAAATGAAATGAAACGAGCTGAGATGGAACTGAAATGTGATAGTTAAACCAAATGTGCTGAAATGGGAGTTAAAAAGAAATTAGTTAAAAGAAAATAAGACTAAATAAAGAAAGATCAAAATAATAAAATAAAATCAAATCAAATAAAACAAAAAAAAAACAATAAAATTAAATTAAATTGAATTAAATTAAATTAAATAATTTAAAATAAAATAAAGAAAACCAAAACAATGAAGTCAAATCAAACCAAGTCAAATAAAATAAAATATAATAATTTAAAATAAATAAATTAAAATAAAGTGAAATAAAATAAAATAAGATAAAGTAAAATCGAATCAAGTCAAATAAAATAAAACAAAATAAGTAAAATCCAATAATTTAAAATAAAATAAAATTTAAATATAACAAAAAAAAAAATAAGTAAACCAAANAAAAATAATCAAATTAAAAATTAATGAAAATAATTGAAATGTACGAAAATAAGAAATAAAATCAAATTTTTTATAAAATTCCTCCTTTCCCTTTCTTCCAGGCCATGACACCTGCTTTGAACGCATTATGACACGATTTGGTCGCAAAGGCACCTACGTAGTCATAGGCGATGGCACCGAGGAGGAGAATGCAGCGAAGACGTACAACTTCCCCTTCTGGCGCATTTCGTCGCATAGTGATATACGCGCACTTTACACAGCGCTCGATATGGGTTTCTTATGAAAGGCGCGCTGCTGCAGGTGGATATATTGCGCGACATTTACACTGTAAAAAATTAATAAGAAGTAAGTTAAATAATGACAATTATAATATTAAATAATTATTGAGTTAATTAACGAAAAAAAAACGCATACATACATAAATACAGTTATAAGAAAAAATCTCTTGCATGTAAATTAAATATCGTTGTAGCTAAGCAAATGTACGCACCTAAAAATTAAAAGACTTCTTAATCACTATATTTAGTTAAAATAAATGAATCTATAATCAAATAAGTTAAGTAAAAAATGTATAACACTAAAATATTAAAAACACAAAAAAAACTAAAAATTGTCTTTGCTGCTTAAATTAAAAAAAAAAAAAACTAAAAACAAAAACATGTACAAAATGTACATATGCCACGTTCGTTCTCTTTAATTTGTATTAGGCTTACCGAAATATTCTAAAGAATAATAATAAAACAAAATCAACAATTGATTATTGGATTGCAAAAAAAAAAAACTTTTACTTACATTTAATAATTTTATTTTTGTTATTTATGGCCTTATAACAAATATATTCAACAATTTTATTAAACTTGGGCCGTTTTTAATAAAAATTATTGTGAAAAAAAAATTACAAACTGCAATACTCTACCACAAATACTTTCGGAGGTAAGGTACGAAAAATTCCGTTTGTATGGGAGGCGCCGTGCCCCTTTGTCCAATCGATATAAGTTGGGTTAAATGACACCAGTGTGCAAAATTTCATTAAGATCGGTTGAGTAGTTAAAGCGTGAAAGCGTAACAAACAAACCTTTCGCATTTATATCAGCAAGGACTATCCAGTACTGAACAGTAAAATAATTTTTAAAGGTGAGTATTTCTTACACAGACCCAAATACACAAACACAAAATATTACACCAGGGCTTATGAATTTTTTGCCCTTGATTGGTTGTGCTCAACGAAAAACCAATATTAAGTACAAAAATTACGCACTGATCAGGCGTGTTTTCAAGAAGATTTTTTGGCAATCATAAGTAGCACATTGTCCTTTAACCTAGGATTCTTCTTCTGAAGAATTATATTTTATATTTTGAAGAAGTATATTTTATACCCATAAATGTTAAATAAGTACCGCCCAACGACTACCACAAGAAAATTCACGTTTTTTTTTTTTATAAAATACGCGAAATTCAGTTACAGTTGTAAGCAGCCCTTTTTCTCGCATTTGGTAACTGACACATTTGTTTAATACCTGTCATTTTATTTCTCAGAACCTACAAATAAATGTCTAAAAATCCCAAGCTTTAGGTCTGACCGCTCAAAAAGTTATACCTTAATAAAAAATAGATTTTGTGCGAGTTGCACTAGAAATTTCCTGATTTTAGCAAGTAAACTGGTCATTTAAACCGTTAGTTTTGTTTTGAATAACTATGTATTGAATATAAATAATAAATTATATAAAATAATATTAACAAAGGTATAGAAACCGCATTTGGCAGTGCAGCTACTTTGTGGCGGCAACAGTGTTGCCATATTTTTTTTTTGTAGCTCATCCCCATATCGAGCTTCAGTTATACCCAAAAAATCCCCATTTGCCTCCTAAATCCCTATTTAAATCCCCTTAAGTATGAAATAAAAAAATATGTATTCTTATTTATGTTAGTTCATTTTAATCAGAGTTTTGAATACTTTTCGGTTACAAATTTTCACAGATTTTTATGTGTACATATTTATG